ATAAAAAGATCCCACTTGGTGTTTGATCAAACTCTCCCCAGTGAAGGTGAAATGTGAACTGGCTAATTAGGAGCCTAATGCTAATGTGGACGTAGGGAGTATTCAGGGAGGACCAGCCTCTTTGGCGTGAGAGCTCAGGGAGCCCCTTTCAGGGCTGCTCATCCACCTTTGGTGTCCACCTGCCACCCAACTCTGACCTGTGGCTCCAAGAAGCTGTAGCATGCACAGCAGCCACACCTCAGTAAACCGTCTCAGCAGACAGGCTAAACCAGGTTGAGGGTAACTGACAGGCCTCAAACCTGTTGGTGAGTTAGGGGGATGTTTACCCTAAGCATGTGAAGACTTCCCCCAGGGGAATGGGCAGATGAGAACAATTTGTTCCAATGGCCATGAAGGAGACTAAAACAGATGCTATGGAGTGCTTAGAGCTTGGTCAGACATCAAAGTCACTAATGTCATCCACTGCCTCCTGGGTCGTTGCCGGTCATCTTGACTTTGTTTTGCCTCTGGACTTCGATGACTCTGGAAGAGAGAGTCTGGCTGAAGACTTTCAGCAACTCTGCCTCACTTAAGTCCAATTCACTCATAAGTCGTTGGTCCTCTTCCAAAATGAAAGACCAAGAACAACAATAACGACTAATCATGTCCCAATAAGGCTTGAAGGTTAGCTTCCAAGTAGATTGTACTCGCTAGCATTGATAAGTCACCAGATTCAGTTCTAATCAACACTATGATCCTTTATTGCTTGTCATTCCTTTTGATGTAAGAGAATAAAATTCATGTTCCATACCTGATTCATTTATGTACATCAGGTATCTTTTTTATTCTCCCCCTTGCTGGAGAGGACCCTTAGACTCTGATCTCATAAACATGTCTAAAATGAACAACTCTCAAGAAATAAAATAAAATTAACGACTCTCTAAGTAGCAGCTTTCCCTAGAGTAGCTGGGTGAAGAGTCAATGAAGTAAAAATCAGGGTCCCTACTTTATTTATTGAGAAACTAATCCACCCCAGAGCAATAAATACCCCTAGAGCAAGCAACAACAGCAGGTAAAAGACAGGGATGGTGCAGGTTGCAAGCTCTTGTGGCCTCAGCTTAGAGGACCCAGAAATCCATTCTCCTAGACTAGACGTTATCTCAAGAGTCAGTTGTATCACTATCTCAGTCCCAAGTCAATGGGGTCATTGTGGCAAGATATATGTTTCGGCCTTCACAGAATTTATTCCTCCAACTCTTTCAAAGTAATATAGGCACTAAGCTACGTAGAAAAATTAACTAAAAAAGAAAAACAAAAACAAAAATTAACTACAGTACTAAGCAGAATATGATGCATGTCAAAGAAAAGTCCAAGCAAAGTGCTATGAGAACTATGAGGAGGGAGAGTTGAGAGAGACAGAGCTGGGAGTGGATCAGGGAAATCTTCATAAGGAGGTGATAATTGAGTTGGACTCTGAAGGAAGAGAGATTGTGGAGGAAAAGGTAATGACAGAGAAGATGGAAGGAAGAGTCTACTCCAGGCATATGGTAGCAATATGAACAAGTACGTGGAGATAAGAAAGAGCAAGAAAAGATGACAATGAGTGAACCAGTCTGGGTGAGCGAATATATGAGTAATAATAATAGTATTTCAGATCTGCATATTACTTTAAGGTTTACATGGGACTCTGCTTACAACAAACCTGTGGGACAGATAGTGTGAAAAGGAGTGTGAGTTCAGGTTGGAAAGGTGAGATAAGGTCATAAGGAGTCAGATCATAAAAGGCCTCGAATTTGAGGACCAGGAGTTTATGCTTTGTTTGGTAGGGGTCTACTGAGGACCAAGAAGGGTAAGTGACTTGGAAAGTTACATAGATAATAAGTGTCAGAGGCAGAATTCAAACCCAGATCCTCTGACTCTCAAAAGAGTGCTCTTTCCATTATACCATGTTACCTTCCCCACACTTCATCTAAGGCTTCCAGAAATGTTCCTAATGTGATATGATCAGACATATATATAAATAAGATTCCCTGGGCAACTGTGTGAATGATTGAAAAGAGGCCAGACTGTAGTCAAGAAGATAGTTGGGGGGGCAGCTAGGTGGCACAGTGGATACAGCACTGGCCCTGGAGTCAGGAGGACCTGAGTTCAAATCTGGCCTCAGACACATAACACTTACTAGCTGTGTGATCCCAGGCAAGTCACTTAACCCCACTGCCTAGCCAAAAAAAAAAAAAAGATAGCTCAAACAGAGCTAAAGTTCTCAGCGGACAACTTCTCAGAAATGTGGTAGTGGGGATTCCTTTCAGGTACGAGTTGGATTAGACGACCACTAAGGTCCCTTCCAGCTCTCAAATTCTATGACTTGGTTATTACAACAGCTATGGGAGAAAGAGATACGAATCTAGACTAGAAAGGTTGTAGTGAAAATGGAAAAGAAGGAAGTAATATGAGAACTTATTGTAGAAGTGAAGTCAAGAGAATATGGCAATTTATTCAATATGGGGGCCAAGAGAGACAGAAGAGTTAGCACCCCTGGGTGACTAGAAGGCTGGTGGTACCATAAATAGCAGCCTAGTACATCGCAGAAAGGGTAGGTTTAAGGGGAAGAGTAAGTTTTAGACATATTGAGTGTAAGGTATCATCATGACACCTAGATTCCTAAATGGAGACATCTAGAAGGCAGATGGAAATATAGAACTGGAGATCTTACAGGATGTGCTTGTGGAGATACAAATCTGGGGGTCATCTGTGTAGAGGGGATAAGCAAAGCCATGGGAATAGACAAGGAAGTATAAAGCAAGAGTCAAGGGGTCTGTGAAATTAGATGGGGGGAAAATCTATCTTAATTTTAACTAACTTCTAACTGAAATTCAGCATTCTCTTCAATTATGAATTTTTAAAATAAATATTATTTTGAGAAGAGGTCTATTGGCTTCACAAGACTACCAAAGGGATCCATGACACAAAATGGCTAAGAACCCCTGATACAGAGAGACCAAAAAAAAGCCAAGAGCAGAGCACTTATGGGAGACTTGGAAGAAGTATTGAGGGAAGAGGGGAGTAGCATCTGGTGAGATCTATGCTGTAAGGGGAATGGCCTTAGGATCTTCTCACTGTCTGAAGTCTTATGGCTCCTAAGAAATGGGCTTGGGTCCTTGGCCCTTTTATTTACTCCTTCCCATTCTAGGTAAAGTTGTAGACTTTCTAACCTTGGGAGTTACAAAGGGCAGGAAACATATCCACAGAAATTTGAGAGTCAGAAACCAGATCAGGTTTTTCAATCAACATCAATGCCCCAAGGAACAAGAAGTGATTATGCCCTTCAGGAAAGATCTTTGAGACTGCCTGGCATTGAGACTCACCTGGCAAGCAGGCCAATTTGGACCTGAAATTGGTAGGATCAGTACTATAAAGGAATGGAGCTAAGTTTTAAGCCTACTCTCACAAAGACCAAAGTATATGGAATAGGACATATGAAGATATAAGAAATGTGAGAGCATATATCCTGGAGGTATTGGGGGGAATGTCTGTACATTTGTTTTTGCTGTATTTGTGAAGTAAATGTACTTTGTAAAAGATAACATAAAAGTGGGATGAAATAACACTGGAAAAGTTCTGGAGTCAGAGCATCTGGGTTCAAATCCTGTCTCTGACACTTAGTACCTATGCAATCTTAAGTAAGTCACGAGCTTTCTGGTCCTCAGTTTCCTCATCTGTAAAATTAAGAGATTAAGCTAGTTAGCCTTTAAGGTCCGTTCCAACTCTAAATCCATGATCTTGTTCCAAACCAGTTCTGTTACAGTGGCATGAAGTAATTCTTGCAGATTTCATGACCTATCCATGTTCTAAGTTGGTTATCCTTATATCCTCAACTATCACCTGGCTCTTTCCAACAGGAGGAAAAGGAAGTCCAATCACTATGGACTATAAATCATCATTTCCCTCGTTAAAGGGAAAATTCTTTATTCAGGTTTTTGCCCTGATTGACAAGGCAAAACTCAGGAAAAATAGAATTAAAAGAGCTTATTAAAAATACATCAAGTTAGCAACACATGGACAGATTGATCACTGGAGATCAGCAAGGGTTTCATGATGGAGCCAGCTTTTATTGATGATTTTCAGAATGAGATAAAGACAACTTGGATGGGCCTGCATCAGTAAAAGTGGTTGGGCCATTGCATCTCAACTCCTCCCCAATTGCCTTTATGGGATGTTTAATAGAAGGTGATACTAACAAAGATGGATAAGTGCTAGACAACAGGTCATACAGCGATGCTTCCCCCAACACTGATTTACAAACAGGACTAGGAACACTGGGTCACTGAGTCAGTATAACTTTTTTTTTAATTTTAAATAACATTTTTTCCCAATTACATGTAAAGACAATTTTTAACATTCATCTTTTTTTTAATTTTGAGTTCCAAATTTTCTCTCTCCCTCTCTTATCTCCCCCCTTCATAGTAAGCAATTTGATATAGGTTATACATGTACAAGCATACAAAATATATTTCCATATTAGTCATGTTGTAAAAGAAGACATAGACCCAAAGGAAACACACACACATACACACACACACACAGAGTGAAAAATAGCATGCTTCAGTCTGTATTCAGACGCCATCAGTTCTTTCTCTGGATGTGGACAGCATTTTCCATCATGAGTCCTTTGGAATTGTCTTGGATCATTGTATTGCTGACAATAGCTAAGTCAGTCACAGTTGATCATCACACAATATTGCTATTACTGTGTACAAGGTTCTCCTGGTTCTGCTCGCTTCACTTTGCATCAGTTTGTGTAAGTCTTTCTTGGTTTTTCTGAAATTAGCCTACTCATCATTTCCTAAAGCACAATAGTATTACATTACAGTCATATACCACAGTTTGTTCAGCCATTCCCCAACTGATGGGCATCTGCTCAATTTCCAATTCTTTGCCACCACAAAAAAAAAAAGCTGCTATAAATATTTTTGTACAAATAGGTCCTTTTCCCTTTTTTATGATCTCTTTGGGCTATTTGAGATAGCAGTGGTATTGCTGGATCAAAGGGCATACACAGTTTTATAGCCCTTTGGGCATTGTTCCAAACAGCATAATTTTCAATACCCTGCAGTCTCATTCAGCATTCTAAGCCCTGACTAAATTCTCTTTCTATTTAAAACTTTTTTACTCTACTTGGGTAGGCCTCAAGGAACGCTGAACTCCTAGAGAAAGGAGAGTAACCTGGAAGTGGAGTATATACTATGATAACAAAACTGTATTCAGGATAATATAGAAGGTTGGAACAAACCTCAAAGGAGGAGAGATTACAAAGTGATAGTGGCAAAGGAAGTAGCAAGGAGGTAGGAAGACAGCAAGGAATGACTATGAATTCCTCTCTTGGCCCAGTGTGTTAAGATTTTAAAGTAGCAGCAAGCCACATTAGGAAGGACTGCCACATTAGAAAAGGATGTATTTTCTTCCCCAGACAGCCAGAAATACCAGATTTAAAGAGCCTAAAATAAACATGTAGAAGATGAAAGGGTATTTGTTGACAATAGAGATATAATGGCATCTTCTCCTCCCATTTGAACTCTTACCACTTCAGGGCTCTTATCTCTGCTGAATGTAGATCTGCCTTTCCTGGTTCCAGATGCTGTTGCCTCCAACTTCCACTGAAGAGCTAAATCCTCACCTGATCACCTTTCTGTACTGGGGAAGCCTTGAAGAAAAGATGAAAATTGTGGGAAAACATAATTGTGATAATTATAAACATGGATGTTGAAGACAGAAAGATTTCAATCTTTCCATAATGCTGTATTCTACTTTTTAACACACCTAGATAGCACACTATCAGGTTAAATTTTATAACCATGATCACTTAGAGAATCCTAAATGATTCTGGTCGTTTTAAATTTACTTTATAGATGTATGGTATCCAGAATTACATTTCCAACTCAACATTTCCTATTGCTTGGCAGAAGTCCCCAGATGGAAAGAATAGAATTCTAAAGAAATGGATAAAATTCGAGCTTTGCACATTGAATTTTCTTTTTAGATGTAATTCTTTTTGTTGAATCTTTGCCTCTGTGAACTCTGTTTCAGTGGTTAACAATTTAGAATTTGAAATGTGATTTTTTTTTGGTATTGTCCAATAGTCATACAGCCCATTTTTGCCAAACCACACTGGTTCTGGGTTTAAAGTTGCTAAATTTAGAGGGTTTTGATGGCATAATCATTCAGTAATGTGGTTTGGTTCATGCTATTGTTATCACCCACCCAAATTCCTATGTTAACCTCAGAAGGGCTTTCTGCTTATTCTGAGCTGTGCCGTCCTTTTGCTTCCTATGTAAGGCTTGGTGTTTTGTTTCGTTTTGTTTTTAATCATCTTAGGAGTTTGGAATTAAGCACAAACGAAAAATACAAAGCTTCATACTACTAGCAGAATACTTTATTTAACATTCAACCAAAGAGAGGAGGCCCAGGTATCAGCAGACTAAAGTAGACGTCTTTACCAATCTTGCCTGTTTCCATCTCAGTCACCATGGCCACCGAACCCTTTGCTTTTTTTTCCCCCTGAAATTGCTTTTTCCCCCTGAAATTGCTTTTTCCCTCTTTGCTCATTGTATAATTTGCTCACAAAAGTGACCCAGTTTGTTTGGCAAGATCTGATTTTTTTTTTTTTTATAAACTCACACTGCTTTTACTGGTCACGATTCTCTCATGGATGTTTAGAGAGTCTTTCTTAGTATTTGTTCCACTGTGTGGCTAAGCTTAGGACTGATAGCTTTCTCACCAGCTGCTCCTTCGCAGGCTCACTCCTCACTCTAGCAGATTTGGGACACATTTGCCTTTATACAGTGGTTTGCTATCTCAGGAGTTATCTTTAAAATAGATTTTTTAAAATATTATTTCCCAAAAATATATATATTATTTCCAAGATAAAATTGACACTCAGACTGACAGGTTTTTTAAAAATAGGCTGATTTGCTCTAATTAACAGGGACAAGGTAGGGAGAGAAAAGCAGATAGAATTTGTAAGAATTATGAATTATAGAAGATAATTAAAGAAATGTCCTTTTACTTTCAAGTACATGTAGTACCTGGAGCCTCATTTTCCTCTGTAAAGTGGGGATAATAGATGCTATCTTTTCTACCTCAAAGGATTATTGCAAGGATCAAATGAGATAAAATATTATAAAGACCAAGCTTAGCCCCAAAGAAGAAATATGAGAATACACCTACTTTCATTCTTTGCAGAGGTAAGAGACTACAGGCGTAGAACATTACATAGAACAAACAATGGATCAACAAGTATTTATTAAGCACCTATATATACCAGGTACTATGGAAGGTATTGCTATTCAGTCATTTCCGTTGTGTCCCACTCTTTATGACCCCATCTGAGGTTTTCTTGGCAAAGATACTGGAGTAGTTTGCCATTTCCTTCTGCAGCTCATTTTACAAAGAAAGAAACTGAGGCAAACAGCATTAAATGACTTACCCAGGGTCACACAGTTAGGAAGCATGTCTGAGTGTGGATTTGAACTCAGATCTTCCAGACACCAGGCCCAGTGCTCTATTCACTTTGACATCCAGCTGGATACAAATACAATGAACTAAATAATCCCTACTAGGAAGGAGTTGAGGGAAATTATTATTTCTCTCTCATATTAATAGTCAGTTATTGAGGAGATTCCAGCTTTTTTTCCCTGTCCTATTTCCTTGTCCAAATGACTCGGCTGATGGAAGACGGGTTATCATTCTCCTCATTCAGGTATTGCAATTCCACCCAACTCATGCTCAGATAGAGGATACAGATTCTTTGTCTAGATTGCCTAAGGCTGGGGCAGTTAGGTGGGGAAGTGGATAGAGCACCAGCTCTGGATTCAGGAGGACCTGAGTTCAAATCAGACACATAGCACTTATTAGCTGTGTGGCTCTGGGCGAGTCACTTAACTCCAATTGCCCAGCAAAAAAAAAAAAAAGAAAAAAAGGAAAAAAAGAAAAAAAGAAAAAGAAATAGATTGCCCAAGGCTGGGGGTGGTCTAAGCATTGGGATAGTCTCTCTGGCCAAGAGTGATGGGAGGTCACTCTCAGCCCCTCCTTGGAGTTAGCTCACTTTTCTTTGTAAAGTCCAGCTCTCATCAATTGTTAACTAATCAGAGTTGATTGCCACTCTCCAGCACACTCCTCTTCCAAAAGGCAAATAAGCTGTTAGCCCACTGCCATGATTGTCTTTGGCTTTCTAGAAGGCCACTGACCTCTTTTTATTAAAATGCTGACATTATTAATAAAATGACTAATTACCCAGAAATTATGTCTCTCAAACTTTTTAAATGTCACAGAATTTACATTCTAAAGAGGAGACAAAAAGTATATGTATACAAAAACTATATACCAATATATACTATTTATCTATATTTTAAAATATAAATATATTTATGAATAAATAAAACACATGTGTTAGCCTGTGTACAACAACCATAAAAAACTGAATACAAGTGCCTAACTACAAGTTTTTGTTGTCGCTATTGGCCCTTCATTTTCAAAGCAGACCAGTGACATCGTCCTGTGTGTGAACTGGATTGAAGTGAGGCGGAGTTGCACAAAGTCATCAGCCTCACCCTCTCATCCAGAATCACTGAAGTCCAGTGGCCAAACCCGGGCAAACTGCCTCTGGAGGTAGGCTAGACCAGGCTGAGGTTTAACCAACAGGTCTCAAACTCACTGGTGAGTTAGGAGGATGTCTACCCCAAGCATACGAAGTCTTACCCTAGCAGAATGGGCAGATGAGAACAACTTGTTCCACGCCACCTACAAGTAATTTATGAGGGAAGAAGGCAACAGCAGTTAAAGATCGGTCAGGATCCATGTGCCTGACTGTGGCTTAGGTGAATGTCAGACCCAGTTGATGTGCTGGTTAGTTTTGATGAATTATTGTTGTTTTTTCCTCTTTTTTTTTTATAAGGTTTAGCTCTCCGGAAATGAGACAGAGGATAGAGGATAGGGAGTGGATGGATGACTTAGCTGGAATAGAGAACCTCTAGGTAAGAAACTACTCCCTTCAGCAAAGCAGGTCAGTAAAAACCTTCTCTGGGGCAGCAAGGTGACACAGGGGATCGAGCACCGGTCCTGGATTCAGGAGGACCTGAGTTCAAATCCAACCTCAGACACATAACACTTACTAGCTGTGTAACCCTAGACAAATCACTTAACCCCTTTGCCTAGCAAAAAAAAAAAAACTTCTCTGCAACTTACTGTCTTAGCAAGCTCTTTTTGGCCTTAGGACACCTTTACACTCTAAAAAATGATTGTGGACCCTTTACTTCCACAAAGATTTTTGTTTATGTGCGTTATAGCTATCAGTATTTGTGTTTGAAATTAACATGTCTGGGTATTATTATGAAAATAATTTTGACCTCGAGGACCCCAGGAAAGAGTTTCAGGGACCCTGGAGGTTCCTGGACTCCAATGAAAACCTCTGAACTTGAACACAGAGAGGTTAAATGACTTGCTCCCAAGGTCCCTCAACCAGTACATGTCAGAGACAGGACTTCAACCCAGGTCATTTTGGCTCTCTACTCACTATAACACATTCCCTCTCTTTGTAAAACAAGAGAAAAACGGTTTTAAAAAATTTTAAAGGGGCAGCTAGGTGGTGCAGTGGATAGAGCACCAGTCCTGAAGTCAAGAGGACCTGAGTTCAAATCTGGCCTCAGATCAAATGCTTGACACTTACTAGCTGTGTGACCCTGGGCAAGTCACTTAACCCCAATGCCAAAAAAAAAAACCCACTAGTGAAAAATCTTAAGCAAGTATTTGAGAAAACGTGAAGTGCTTTGTAAACTATGAAACAAGCATTTATTAAGTACTCACATCGTACAGAGCATAAATCTAGGTATTGGGGATACCCTAAGTTTAGATAAGACATGGTCCCTGCCCTTCAGACGCTTTCAGTCCAGTAGGGAGATAAGACACAAACTCATACAATTATACTACATGACAAAGTGAAACCCAGTCTTAAAACCCATTGCACGGGATGTTGATCTCCATCAATAAGGAGAATTTGAGACTGGGGTTACAAATGCATTAAGGAGTTGGAATTCTATGAGAGATCTGTGGACTAAGGTTGCTACCAACTCTGGGGATCAAGAAAGGCTTCGTAGAGAAGGGGCCATATGGTCTAGGCTCCTAAGGATCAATGGTTATTTATTCATCAAACAAAAGGAGAAGGGACATTCCAGCCACAAGGAACAACCTGAGTGAGCAGAAGTCTGAAGTCATGAAAGGACACTGTATCTCAAGAGGCAGACAGACACTCATCTAGTTGGGCTGGGGTATCAAGTGCATGGAAGGGAAGCCACCGCATGACTTTAACAAGGATGAGTCCTTCCACACTCACCTCATTCTCTTTTTCAACAGTTACCAGACTGGCAGACCAGAACAACACAAACACAGCTTTGCCTAGACTTTAGCAAAGCATTTGATCAAGTATCTCGTGCTATTCTCATAGAATAAATGGGAAAGTGGGGGTTACAGGATAACACTACTGGGTAATTTCAGAAACAGCTCACTTGCTGGACCTGGGAACTGGTTGTTAATGGGACGATATCATTTTGGAGGGAGATCGCAACAGAGTGCACCAGGGACCAGTGCCGGTCCCTGAGCTGTTCAATATTGTTAACTAATGACTTGCAGACATAGCTGGCATGTCTATCAAACTGGCAGATGATACAAAGGTAGAAGGAATCAATAGCATGCTAAATGACCATTAGAAAGATCTTGATGGGCAAGAACACTGGAATGAATCTAAAAAGAAAAGAAAAACTTCTTTAAAATTTTATTGACATCTTTTGTTTTAATGTCACCTTCATTTCCAAATATCTCTCTTCCTCCTCCCCTCCCCCAGAAAGCCATCCCTTGTAAAAAGAGGAGAGACAGACAAAAAGAGAGAGAGAAGAGGAAGCAGTTCAGCAAAAGTAACCAATCAATCTATCAATCGATCAAGGCTGAGAGCATGCACAATATTCCACACCCAGTCTTCCATCTCTGAACTGAAGGTAGGTAAATTTTCTCATTGTTTTCTCAGGTCCAAGCTTGGTCATTATAATGACACAGGGTTCATTTTCAGATTTTTGTTATTATTGTTTCCATTTCCATTGCTGTTGTCTTAGTAGATGTTGTTTCCCTGACTCTTACTTCATTCTGTATCAGTTCATATATGTCTTCTCATGCTTCTCTATATACTTCATGTTCATGGTTTCTCCTGGCAATATTCCATTATATTCATGTGCCACATTTTCTTTAGCCAGGCCCTAATCATTGGGCAGCTAGGTGTTACCATAGTGATAGAGCGCTAGACCTAGAGTCAGGAAGACTCATCTTCATGAGTTCAAATCCGGCTTCAGACACTTCCTAGCTGTGTGACCCTGGGCAAGTCACTTCATTCTGTTTGCCCCAGTTTCCTCATCTGTAAAATAAGCTGGAGAAGGAAATGGCAAACCATTCTTGGCTCACAAAAAAAAAAAACACTCTTGGAGGAGATGGCAAACCATTCTTGGAGAAAGAAATGGCAAACCACTCCAGTATCTTTGCCAATAAAACCCCAAATGGGTTCACAGAGAGTCAGACACAACTGAAATGACTAAATAACAACAATCACTGGGCACCTATTCTGTTTCCAGTTCTTTACTTTAAAAAAAAAATAGGTTTTTTTAAAGTGCTGACATAAGTATTTTTATGTATATAAGACCTTTATTTCTATCTTTGACCTCCTTGGGTGATATGTCTGGCAGTGTTATCTCTGACTCAAAAAGAATGGAAATTTTTGTCATGCCTTAGCACAATTCCAAATTGCTTTCTATAACGGTTCAACCACTCACAGCTTTACCAACAATGAATATATATTGACTCCAAAAAGGCATAATCACAAATATACAAACTTAACCCCCCACCATAAGCCACCTCCCACCCCTCCCTTTGCATCACCTCGGTTTCTAGGGAGAGAAACGGAATAAGGTAAGCTTGGTTGCTATAGGGCTCAAGTCACAGGCACTCTGTCTTCTCAGGGTTTCCATCTCACCTGTAAACATCGGTTCCAAGGTTATCACGGCTTGAACACCTGGTCCAGTAAAGATCACCTTGGACTTCTGGACCTGAGGAGAACAAACAATACAGAACAGAAACAAACACCCCCAGACTCATTTCTCTGAGCCTGGGTAAAAGAGGGAGCAAGGAGAGGAAAGTCCTTCCCTTCTCACCAGTTATGTTCATGGCATCCTGGCTGTGGGTGAACTGGGATGTTCACCCTCTGGACACAGCAGATAGTTGTCACTGAAAAGAGCACTTCAGAAAGATGGTGGAAAAGGGTAGAGCCAAAAAGAGAAACCAGCTCAGTTCAGCCAGTTCTAAAGACAGGCAGCCAATCAAAGGAGGCAACCCCCCACCCATTTGGTAGGGGATGAAGGGACCTCCATTTTAGGTCACTGGGACATGCTCCAAAGGCCCCTCAAGGACACCTCCACATTAGAAATAGGCATGAGTTACATGACATTGTATTCAGGTCTGAAAGCCACATTTTAAGAAAGGCATTAATAAGGTTGCAAGCATCCAGAAGAAGGTATCCAAAATTGTGAAGGGCCTTAACTTACAAAGATTGGTTGAAGGAACTTTTTGTCTGGAGAAAAAAAAAGACTCAGAGAATATATGATGACAGTCTTCAAGTATGTGAGGGGCTATGTGAGAGAGGGACCAGTCTTGCTATGTTTGGCAAAGAGGCAAATTTAGGCTTGACATCAGGAAAAACATCCTGAGCTATTCGAAACGAAGGAAGGAAATGAGCGCTAATTAAGCTTCTACTGGGTGCCAGGCACTGTGCTAAGAGCTTTACAAATTTGATCCCTACAACTACCCTGGTGGGGTAGGTGCTATTATTATCCCCATTTTGCAGACGAGGAAACCAAGGCAGACAGCATGTTTAGGGTCACACAGTTACTATCTGAGGCTGGATTTGAACTCAGGTCTTCCTAACTCGAAGCCTCAGGAAATGGTACCCTATACTTGAGGTTTTCAAGCGAAGGCTAGATGACCACTTGTCAGGCTTGTCTGAGAGGAGATTCCAGTTCATGTAGGGTTTGGATTAGATGACCTCAGAGTTCTCTTCCAAATTCTGTAGTCCCAGTTTCAAGTCAATTTGGCAAATACTTTTAGATCACTTCTTGTTGTTCAGTCGTTCAGTCATGTCTGACTCTTCATACCCCATTTGGGGTTTTCTTGGCAGATATACTGGAATGGTTTACCATTTCCTTCTCCAGCCCATTTTACAGATGAGGGAATGGAGGCAAATGGGGTGTAGCGACTTGCCCAGGGTCATATAGCTAGTGTGTGTCTGAGGACACATTTGAACTCAGAATCTTCCTGTGCACTATGGCGCCCCCTAGCGGCTTCATTAGTCTAATTTGTGTATTCCTGTGATGAGGTATTTCATGCCACTCGGCGTATGTAAGTCATTATTAGAGAAAACTACAGCCTACTTAAACTCACCACACATCTTTCCAGTGCCTTTTCGGTGGTCTGCAATTTTGATTCACCTGAGTTTGGGATGTCCTATAATTCTTAGCCCTATAGCATCACCTGAAAAATTCTGGTCTGCTGTCCAAACCTATGATTTTCATCAGCACAGGGAATTTCTCCATGGAAATTTCTCCTACAAATACAGATCTATGACTCTCCCATAATTTAAAGCCTTTATGAGTTGCCTAGGGTACTGAGAGGGTTAGTGACTTACCTAGGGTCACATAGCAAATACATGTCAAGATCAGGCCCCGAGCCAAGGTCTTCCTTACTCCAAGGCCAAGATACTCTCCATTGCCCTATGGAGACCATTAGCATTCAAAAGATGGCTTTGTATCATCTGTGAAAAAGCTAAACAAATTGTGATATGCAGATACAATGGAATATCACTGCATATTGAGAAAAGAATTCTGACGTGGAAGACTTGTATGATATCAGAAAAACCACAGACACAGTGATTTTGATGTAAATTAAGACAACACAAAAAGACAACAAAATTTAGGTGGTTCACAATGGTCAATGTTGGTTCCATCCAAATGGTGTCAAAGCATATTTTGTTGTTTATTATTTGTTGTTATTTCATAAACTTTCATTATGAAATTGTGAGTGTAGAAATGTTAAATGCGCTATAAGTCTCAATCACTAGGGTAGGTGTCTTTGCTTAGCTTTTATTTTTTAAAGGGAATATATTGGAGCAGCTAGGTGGCTCAGTGGATAGAGCGCTGGGCCTGGAGTCAAGAAGACCTGAGTTCAAATCCAGCCTTGCACACATACTAGCTGTGTGACCCTAGACAAGTCACTTAACCTCTATTTGCCTGGAAGGCAGTTAAGTGACTTGATGGATAAAGTGCTGAACTTGGAGGTAGGGAGACCTGAGTTCAAATCCAGCCTTAGACACATACGAGCTGTGTGTCCCTGGACAAGTACATTTAACCTCTGTTTGCCTTAACCACAAGAGAAGGAAATGGCAAACCACTTCAGTCTATCTGCCAAGAAAACCCCATGGATAGTATGATATATGGGGTCACAAAGAGTTGGACGTGGTTCAATGACTGAACAACAAATGAATCAGGGAGAGGGAGGTTACTGGGAAACAACTGTATCAAAACAAAATATATCAATAAAAATTAAAAAAAAAAAGTCAAGGAAGGGAGAAGTAAAAATGTTGCTATTCCAATAACTAAATCTTCCAATAGACAAAACTAAAAAAAATTTCAGACAATTTAGAGGGAAATATTTTACATAACCTTATATAAAACCAGACATCATTAGAACATAATGTAGCCTAGAGTAGGAAAATGCAGATTTGAAAAATGGACAATCTGATAAACTGAACATTTGAATATTAATTGGATACTGAATGTTAATGTTATTTTTATCTGAATATTCACTTTCAGATATTACTCATCTAAGAAGCCAAACAAAATCTCTTATTTCCAAATTTGAAAAATAAAAGTTGAAAAAACTAAAAAGACAAGCTTGTGTAACAGGGTACAACTTGCACAATGCTTTCTCTGATACTGTTACTGTTGAGTTATTTTTCAATTATGTCCGACTCTTCATGACCCCATTTGGAGTTTTCTTGGCAAAGATAGTGAAGTGGTTTGCCATTTCCTTCTCCGGTTCATGTTACAGATGAGGAAACAAAGCAAACAGGGTTAAGTGACTTTCACAGGGTCACACAGCTAATAAGTGTCTAAGGCCGCATTTGAACTCAGGTCTTTCAGACTCCAGGGCCACAGCAATATCTACTGTAGCGCTTAACTGCCCTCTGCAATACTAGTTTCTTAAATATGATTCAGCTCATTCTCCCTGCCTTGTTAAATTCTGGGTCCTGCTCATTGTCCATTCGCCCTATCTAAGAAACCACCTTTAACCTGGAGTCACTGAACCTGAGTTCAAATCTTGGCTCTGCTACTTGTTAGCTGTGTGACCTTGAACAAGTGACTTTACCTCTCAAGGACTCAATTTATACACCTATAAAATAAAGATGATGGGGGCAGCTGGGTGGTGCAGTAGACAGAGCACTGGCCTTGCAGTCAGGAGGACCTGAGTTCAAATCTGGCCTCAGACACATAACACTTACTAGCTATATGACCCTGGGCAAGTCACTTAACCACCCCCTCCCCAAAAAACAAATGAAGATGATAGACTAGACAAATTTAAGATCCCTTCTCATTGTAAAGCTATGATCCTATGTGATAGCCAGCGTTTATACAGTGCTTTAAGATTTGGGAACTCAAAAGCTTATGAAAGTGGTTGTTGATAAATCAAAATAAATTAATAAAGTAAAAAAATAAGTAGAGAAAAAAATAAAAATAAAAAAAGTCCAAAAAAGAAAGATTTGCAAAGCATTTTACATGTTTTTTTTATTTGATCCTCACAACCGCCATATGAAGCAGATGCTATTTTATCAGCAGCAGCATAACTAACATAAGCACTGCTCACTATGTGCCATGCCCTGTGCTAAGCATTTTATAATTATTCCATCATTTCCATCCTCACAACAACCCTGGGAGGTAAGTGCAGGCACTGGGCATACAAAGAATGGAAAAAAGATTTACAAACATCCCTCTCTCTTCTGCCCTGCGGGCGGGCTATTTCTTGCAACAAAGATTTTAAAGGAAAAGGGAGGAAAAAAATAATTCAACAAAATCAACCACCCCATACACTGTAACTTCATCTTCCTAAGTACCGTTGACAATTCATCCCAAAGCACCCCAGCAATTGAGGCACTGGAGTCAAAAAGTGGAGGTTTTGTCACAGCCATTGATGAGACCAGGTCATTATAGAATTTCCAAAGAACTGTTCCATTTTCACGTCTATTGTTGGTACTATTACCAGTTTCATCTATAAATCTTTTAGGGAATATCTGTTATAACTGGGTCTCAAACAAAAGATTCTTTAAGCCTATTTCCCCCAAACTGCTTTTCCAACCTTCCTGAGGCACTCATAATAATGAAGCCTATAGAGGCAACTAGGGGGCTCAATGGATAGGGGGCTAGACTGGGAGTCAAGACTTGAGTTCAGATCTTGCCTTAGACACTAGCTCTCTGATCCTAGGCAAGTAGAAATATTATTCAACTTCTCTCTGCCTCAGTTTCCAAATCTGTAATAAAAGGAATAAAAATAGCACCTACCACACAGGGTTGTTGTGAGGATTAAATGAGATAACACAGGAAGAGTGCTTTGTAAACATTAAAACATTATTAATAAATACTATCATTATTATTATTGTCATCAGTTACCCTCCTTCATAATATTTTGTAAATGTGTACTCCAAACACTGACAAATCAATTATTAGACTGGACACATCTTACCCTTAAATGATTTCCACTTTAGAAGACCAGATATTTCCTATCAGTTAAATTCTAGTCAGTCATGTTTTTTTGATTTTTTTTTTTATGTTCATCATGTCCAGTGTCTTTCAACTCTATTCTTGATGAGAGGGTTCATGATTTCCAGTGTGAAGATTTGGAGTTGTCTATAACCTTTGGTATCTTTCTTTTTTTATTTTTTTTTTAGGCAATTGGGGTTAAATGACTTGCCTAGGGTCACACAGCTAGTAAGTATCAAGTGTTT